CAAACACTCAACACTCAAAATGAAGGAAAGGTTTATTTAACTCACAGTTACTGAAGATTTCAGTCCACACTCAGCTGGCTCCAAGGCAGAGAAGCACATGGCCGAGAGCAACCTTTCATGGCGGCAGCAAAGAGCAGAGAGCAAAATGGAGAAGTAGCAGCAACAATGGCTGCAGAAAACAAGTCTGTCTCCCTTCAGTCGCATTCAGGCTATCAGACCCAGGCTGGGTGTAGTACTCACACCCATAATCCCACCAGCACTCACACTCATAATCCCAGTGGCTCATGGTTAATCACAAAGTCTAGAAGTCTGCCCCATGGTTGCATGAGGCTTTGGAGAGATCCCTAGACACAAACCATAACAATACCTTGTATTTTTGCTGTCTAGGCACCATTTTACCTCCTGTGAGCATGCTCCATCTGCCTCTAAATCTGTTAAAATCCTGTTATTCCACAAGGCCAACTATCTGGACTTTCTACCATGAAACCTCCCTGCCTTTGCCAGGTAGAAGTTTTTTCTCTCCCTGAATCACTAAAGTACTTGGGACTTGGGGCTGTCTCTGGCTTTTGGTGTTGTTGGTTAGCTTGTTTATTGGAGCTATGGGTGTCCTCACTTTCTTTAAGTGATTTCATCTGTCACGGGGGCTATTCAGTCATCAACATAAAGAACATTGGGCTAGAGAGAGCTCCCATGAATGTAGAACCTGCGGCATTCAGAACCCCCGTTCTATAATCCTAGCTTGCATGCTGAGCCTGGATGCCATCCACTCCTCAGATGCATGTGGTCAGGGGAATGAGGGGCTTACAGGCTGGTGGAAATCGCCCATGTTGAAGGATTGCTGCATTTACCCGGTCAGTGCATGCTCTGGGCTGGGGACAAGTGGCCTCCAGATCAGCACTGCCCAGTTGTGATGACAGCGATGTTCTATACCAGTGCTTTCCAGTGCAGTGGCCAGTTGCCACCTGTGGCTATTGAGCACTTGTCATACAGCTGCTGGGAATGAAAAATTGAATTCTTCACATCTTTTGTTGTCATGAATTTAAATTTAAATCCCACACATGGCTACCGTGTTGGACAGCCCAGATCTCAAAGCCTGGGGATATGGGTCAGCTGCAGTACTGCGCGTGAGTTGAACACCCGGACACCTGGCTGAGGACGCCTCCCCTCCTGCCTGGAGTGGGACAGGCCTTAACAGCATCAAAACGGTTTCAAACATTGTTCACTGGCTGTGCTGCTCAGAAGAGAGCATTGGGTACTTCTGCTTCATTCCTTCAGGAATGGCCAAGCCAGGCATGGTGGTGTAGCCTTACAATCCATGTACCCAAGAGGCTGAGGCAGGAGGATCACCGTGAGTTGGAGGGCAACCTGGGTTACACAGTGTGTTCAAGGCCAGTCTGAATCTCATAGAGACAGAGAGACCCTTTCTCAGTGCCTTGCCCCAATAGCAAGACTTTAAGCTCCCCTTAGCTATAATTCTTTGAGCAAGCTTCCTTTGCCTGACTGCATTAAAGCATGTGATACATATATGCTTTATGTACGGAGTACAAATGCCAAACTCCAAGGGCTGTTCTGAGGGAGAAAGGGAGGAATGCAGGGGAAGCCCTGTTACACAGAGTGCACCCTGTAGGTTATCGGCTTCATGTGACCTTTCTTGCATTTATTCAGCTGAAGCATCTGGAGAGTCCTGGCCTTGTGGGGTAGTTATTGAAGGACACTGTACTGTGCCCGTAGCTGTATGACCCTGTAGCTGAATTTCCCTGAACACATGAAATGCAAACCTACCCCTTCTTCGAGGGCCATTTCACCACGGCCTTTGCCTTCCATGAGCTTGGGGACAGGCTGAGGGTCTGTGAGCGACTTGTCCGTAGTGGGCCCTCCCCTTAGCAATCTGCATTCCTGCTCCGGGTCCACAGTATCCGTGACCACGTGAGCCTGTGTGTTTGTGCCCCACTGCTCCTCTCACTGAGGAGAGCCTGGCAAGCCCTCGGCAGCTCTGCCTACCACTGTCGATTAACCCCAAGAGTTCCCCTTCTCCTCCGTCCAATCCAGTGTCCATCTCAGCATGTTTCAAATATACACAAATCAGGAGGAGGTCAGGCATAACCACAGGGGGAGAGATACTACTGGTGCTGTGGAGGGGCAGGCGGTGACAGCCAGAGAGGCTGGTGTAGGCAGGGAGGGAGCACACCTGTGGGCTTCCCAGAGGGCTGGCAATGAAGTGCCACCTTTGGCTTCTCTCAGCACCTGCTTTCCTGACAGAGGAATGTTGGTGTCCTGGGGGGACAAAACCTGGCATCTCATGGGCAATGGCTGCTCTGTGCTATCCAGTCCAGACCAGTGATACCTGCGCTCAAGGCTCACATACATGAGTTCTGGGTCAAGCTGGGAGATTCTCCTGACACCCTAAAGCAGGTGACTGTGTCTTGATTTTATTCCTGTAACTACTTTCCATCAAGAAGCAGTTATTTCCAGCTCTGGGCCTCTAGAGTTTTCTGATATACACATCTTCCCCATCTTGTTATTATTACTCTTTTTTATTTTGGATTTTGTTGTTGTTTTTAGACAAAGATTCACTGTGTAGTTTAGGCTGCCCTCAAACTCACAGCGATTTTCCTGCCTCAGCTTCCTGAGGATTACTGGTATACACCACCATGCTTAGCATGTTTTAGATTTTTTTTAATCTTAATAAGACTAATGGAGCTAGAATTGCCCCTCTATCTAAAGTTCAATTTTCATAGGTTACATATGATACCATATTACACAAATAAAAATAATCCTTTCTCAGGAAGTCTTAGCTATGTGCCAGGTACTATTCTGAGGACTTAATCCCAGTCCACTAATTTAACACACACATTAATCTTATAAGGTATTTGGCATTTACTGTCCCATCTGTATAGGTGAGGAGACTGAGCCCAGAGAGATTAAGACACTTGCCCTGTGTCACATAGCAAGTTTATGTGAAGCTGGCCTTGGCCCATGGTGCCTGGCTCAAGAGCCCATGCTCCTTTCAGGAGAAAATTCTCCCTGCAGCCCTGTTCTCATCAAAACACTGAGAGTCCCTACTTGTAGGTCATCAGTGTTGGTGCACAGATAAGTGGCCATTAAGTACAAATATCCTACAGATTTGCACTGATGAGTACTGGCTCAATGTAAGTTATCCTATCTAATACCCAAGCAAAGGACAAGCCACTGGGCTCAGGAAAAGAAAACTTCTTGAATTTTTTGGCACATCAAGAGGTTGCTCTTGGGACGAGGTGTTCTTGGTTTCTCTAATACACTTGGACCCTCCCTTTACACACACACAGAGACAGACAGAGGGAGAGAGAGAGAGAGAGAGAGAGAGAGAGAGAGAGAGAGAGAGACAGAGACAGAGACAGAGACAGAGAGACAGAGACAGAGAGAGAGAGAGAGAAATAGAGAGAGGTTTGAGCATAATTACTTGATAAGTGTGTCTTCTTAGGAAATATTCAGAGTTAGCCTCAGCCAGGAAGGTAGGAGGAGGATCTCACATAGAGCAGCCAGACCCTGCTCAGGGTCCCCACTCAGGGGGTTGTGATGCAGGGGTGGTGGATGAAGTGGACAAGCATAGGGGTCTGTTCCTTGGTGTTTTATCCTGACATCTCTAGATGCTATCCTAAGTGGAACAGAGCAGCATCCATACCACAGGTATGAGGGTGGAAGAGAGCAAGGCAAAGCCTGCTTTGTGCTGAAGTCCAGGCAGAGCTCACTTACTTTTCCTGTCCCCTTTGCTGGGCTGGATGTCTTTGGTTGCTGAGCCCACACTGCACCATCAGACATCCAGCAACCGGGAGGATTTGCCTACCTACTCAGAGGTGATGTGATCCACAGACTTGATTTATCTGGGATTTTGCTTTCCTGACCACTCCACCCCCACTCTGTCCATCATGGAGTCAGCCTCATTCCCAGCCTTTCTTCGTAGCTGCAGGAGGCTTTCAGCGAAGTCCAGGGCCACCACACTTCCACAGATCAGAGGGAGTGAGGCCGTCTTTCCCAAAGTCCCCTCAGTCTCAGTTGGACCACGGATCCTCTCCAAATTAGTAACTGCACTGGGCAACCCTGGTGCCCAAGAACCTGTGGTAGGATGAGGTTTTCTGTTGACTCTGAGCTGTGAAGTGAGATGTAGACTCCTAAATACATATAGATGGAGTCATCAAGAGGAGGGGAGACCTGCGGGCAGTAACTGCAGCTCTTGCTTCCGTTTCGTGGCCTGCAGACCCCCACTGTATATTGTCTTGGTTGCTTTTCCATTGTTGGAACAGAATACCCAACACCCACCAACCTAAAGGAGGAGAAGCTTACTTTAGTTCATGTTTTATCTATTCAGGCTTTTGGGAAGGGTCCTCATAGATAGCAGTGGGCATGGCTCTTGAGGGCTTAGCTCCAGGGCAGAAATGGAAAGGAGGGAAGCCCTGGTGGAGGATGGCTGCTCATCCTGTAGCAGTCAGGGAGTAGAGAGAAAAGAGGAGCCAGGGACAAGAACATACCTTCCAGGTCATGCCTCTGGTACCCACTGCCAACCGGGCATTGAGCTATTGAACTTATCAATGAATGATGGCACCCCATGATCCAATCACCTTGCACATGCATGAGAACTTGGGGGGGACCTTTTGGGTCTAAACCATAACATATTCTCAGGTGTGCTTTTCTTCTAGAAAATAGACATATAATTGTTAAACTACTGCATTGTACTCTTTTGTGACTCAGATCTCGTTCATTCCCTTTCCTCCTCTTCCTTTTCCCTTTCTTCCTGTATTCTGTCCTTTCTTCCTCCTTCCTCTTTCATCAGCTCTTATCTTCTCTTATCTTCTCATTCCCTTCCTCCCGGCACCTCTTCTCCTTACCCCTCTGCCTCCCAGTCTCTCCTTCCCCACTTACCCACCCTTCTCTCTTCATGAATAACCTAGAATATATGACTCAACTAACTTGGTTCAGCACAAGTTAGTTTCTCCCTAAATCATGCCTTCATATTTGCTCCCCAGGAAGAAGAAATGCCAGATGTAGAAATCGACATTGATGATCTTCTGGATGCAGAGAGTGAGGAAGAGAGAGCTTCAAAATTGCAGGTAAACAGCATTCTCGAACCTGCCGACCATGGATGTCTGACTCCACCTGTGTCCTCAAAGCATGGTGTCCAGTGAGGAGGTGTGATTCAGCTGAGTCCTTGTGGTATCAGCAGCACCTGGGGTTGGCCAGAGACATTTGGCTGAAAGGAAAGCAATAGGGGCCTGAGTGTTCACCTGCACACACTGCATCTCTGATCTAGAGCTGCTCTTGACTATAGCCAGTTTTCCAAGGACTTTATAAGATGACTTCCTCCCATCTCATTTTCCTAGGAGAAAGAGCTGGTTATTGCCTGAAGGATCATTCTCTGGAGAAAGGAGTAGTGTAGCTGAATAAGCAAAGGCCTGGATTGGAACTGAAGATGTTTACGTCCAGGACTCTGGTCTCATAGTTATGGATTGTGGCATTTATGAAATTTATTTCTATATTAGACTCCCTATTTGACTTAGTAGAATATACTTTTAAAAAATAATGTTCACCTGATACCAATCACATTCTAGTATGTTAGTGGAGGTTGAGTTGACTAATGTTCCTTAGTGGAAAGCAATAGAATTTGTACAGTTCTTCTCTCAAGTGACTAAATTTATCATCTTAAAAACAGCATTTAGCAATTTCTAAAACAACCTCTGACTCACCACTGTTCTTAATAGCCACTGATAATTATTGGTAATGGCTATTGGTTATCATCAATGGCAAATGGTCACTAAAGCAAATCAAATGGCACATTTTAATGCACTGATATGCTTAACATGTGAATAATTCCCGGTGTCCCTTGAGTGATGAACAGCCTTAGTGACAGTCATTATTTCATATGGCTGGATTTAGCTGGGAAATAATAGCATCCTGCTCATAAAAGTTTTTTAAAAAGTAAATAATACTTTAAAGCCCCTATCACTTCTAAAGAAAATGTAATCACATAAAAAAATTATCCTAACATTGAGAACTTGGAAAGGGCTTTGTTTTTAGCTCTCCTTGGGTTCCCTGCCCCTCTTGATTCCCAGGTGAGGACATTGCAGCTGAGGTAGCTGAGTCCCAGACTGGTCTGTGGCTGAGCCATGGCCAGAGCCCCCCTTTCCATGTCTATTGTGCTTGTCACTGTCTGGCACAGGCGATCTCAACTTTAAGGACATGCAGTTTAATATTAACCCAGTAGGTAGCCCAGAGGAAAGGGCAGGAGGAGGTGTGTGTGTGTGTCTGTGTGCAGAAAAGAAAGTAAAAGTCATTTCCTGGGTGAGTGAGTTTGAAATCTAACCTAGGCCTCTAAATTATACTTAGTTAATATAATATAAAACTGGAGTCCTAGGAAAGCTGGTGTGTGAGTGTGTGTGTGTGTGTGTGTGTGTGTGTGCATGCGCACACGGGCATGTATTCTCCTCCTACTTAGGCCTGTCACAGGTTTGGGCATAGAGTTAGACTGCATCTCCTTGCAGACTATAGCCTACTGCTTTCCCATCTCTACTCCTCCTTAAAGTGAGCTCTTCTGCTCAGTGAGCGATCTATAATCTAATCAAGGGCTATATTTTGTTTTCAATGCTGTGGTAACAAAACACCCAAATCTTTTTTATTAAAAAAGACTTCCCATGAAGAGTGTGTGTGTGTGTACAGAAGCACATGCATGTGCGCGCAGGCTCTCTTGTGCATGTGTGTTTGTGTGCATGTGTGAGCACGTAGGCCCCCTTATGTGTGTGTGTGTGTGCATGTGCGTGCACGTGCACGCAGGCCCCCTTGTGCATGTATGTGTGCACTGGGATGAGCACAGCATTCCTGCATATTAATGGCAGGAATGTATCTTTACGTGACCAACTGGTGCTGAAGCAGGTGATTATGAGGTCACTATGAAGTCTTGATCTGCTACTGTAAAATAATGGTATAAAAATGAAATGATTTTTAATTTTGCTTTTAAAAATCAGGGGTTGGGGAAACAGCTCAGTGGCATAAGCACCTGCACGGCAAGCTCAAGGTCCTGAGTTCGATCCCTGGTACTAAATAATTAGATAAATATAAAAATAAGGCTGAAATTTAAAATAATAAGACGGAGCTTTTGTGTGTTTCATTCTAGGAAGCTCTGGTGGACTGCTACAAGCCAACAGAGGTAAACACATCACTTCTCCTAAAAGCTGTGTTTGAAGTGGATTTTATTAAATCTATTTGCCTATTTTTAAGCTAAACCACAATAAACAAATACTAATTGGCAATGACTGCCCATGAGGGCCTGTTTGCACCATGTTACCTTCTTTAATTCTAAGCTGAACACATCGAGCTCTGGAAGACTGAAAATTAATTGAATGGGTGTCTTTCCAGCTTCAGATGAAAGTCCAGCTTCAAGTTAAATTGTGAGAGGATGTGGAATCGTTGTAGTAAAAGTTTTAGGTTTATGATGAATACATCTTATTAGTTTATTGGGTGTATTTTTTAAATTACTTAAATTAGTTCTGTTTTTCAGGAAAATTACCTTTCTTGGGAGAAAAAAATGTAATTCCTTTTTGGATATTTATCAAAAATATAAACATTAATATAAAACGTGATGCATAAAGTCTGATAAAGCCAGAGCACATAGTGTTTATTCTAATAACCTAAAATAGGAACAGCACGGAAGTTAAGGTGTTGATTAGTTATGAAAATATCAGCTAAAAAAAAAAAAAAAAGAAAATATCAGCTAAAGAATACTTGGACTTTGTTGCTCTGGTACATAAAAGAAAGAAGATTCATCAGATGTTTTGAGATCTATTTGTAATCAAAGCAATGATGGTAAGATTTCTGATGTTTGAAGTGGTAAATTACAAAGGGAAATGGAAGTGTGCTTTTTAGAAGAGTGTAAATTTTTGACTACTAAGATGCTTCATGTTGTGTACTTTGAGGCTAGTTACCTGTTTGAGCTGCATGCTCATAACCTCCAGTTCTTATTATGTCTTGCAGTCATACAGATTCTCAATGTTAGCTGTTAAAATATATTGTTAGTGAATTTAATACATATTCACACTTATAAAAACAAAAAATATTATAGGGCTTATAAAGGAAAGCGCTAGTGCTCTTCCCCATCCTTTGACACCCCTCCCTAGAGGTCTGTATCTTACATTTAAATATTTTATTTATATATTTATATATAATACTTTTGGCTGGTTCCCTGCTAAATATATATTTAGTACTTCTTGAAAACATTATTGATTTAAGAAAAAAGATGATAGCTCATTTATTCTCCATACAATTCCTTTCTGTCTTTCCCCTTGATAAAATTATGTTACAGTATTTTGTGAAATCCATGGTTAAGGTTTATAGTACTATGATTTAACATATATTTTCATGACTCAGTCAGATATTTTCATGACTCAGCTAACAGTGAATATGACAAGGGTTTCTTCCTTGAATGGCCTTTCGTTTTTCCTGGAGTTGATAATACCTTGTCTTTTATTTTTTCTAGCATCAGTTGCTATTTTTATAGTGAACCCTCCAATGTTTTTGTCAAAGGTATAATATGTTTCCTGTATTCTCAAACACTTCAGCACTATCTCTTTGTGCCCCTAGACTTCCCTTCTGGAGTCCCTTTCTCTGGGTTTGCTGAATGTCTACTATTCTGAGATTTTTGTTCACTGCTGTCGAGTGTTTATTCTTTGGTAATTAAGTCTCAGTATCCTGCATTTTTTGTGATGTACCTCATCCACTAGCTTCTTAAGAAAGGAAGGATAGGGATACTTTTTAAAAACCCTCATATAAGTGACAGTGTGTCTCTACCAGTAGTTAATTTCCATGGTATAGAATTCTAGGCTAAAAGGCATTATTAAAACTCAGTTTTGAAGATACTTCTCTATTGTCTTGCTTCTACTTTTAAGAAGCTTGATACCATTTCCATTCTCATCTCTTTCCATATTCTGTTCCCCCATCCGCAGTTAACTTGTAAGGCCACCTCTCTAAATATTGAAGCTTTTCGGTTATGCACATGCTGTTGTGTGGGTGTTTTTCTATTTATGCGCTGATGTTTTGTAAGCTCTTTAAGTCTGAAAATACTGTCTTTCAGTTTTTCAGATATTGTTTTTCATTATTGGCTTATTATTTATTTCTTTTTCAGTATCCTGTGCTTGTGACTTTCCTTTTATTTCATATGATCCTTTAGTTTAAGCCTGTAACTTCTTTTTCCTTTCATTTTCCCAGATCCTTAACCTTTGGTTCTACTTTGTAAGAGATTTCCTTGGCTTTATCTTCCATTTTAAGACTTCACTTGTCTTAGTTTTAGTACCCTGGAGCTATGTTGTGAGCTCTGTTTACCATTTTGTTTTACTGTTTCTTCTTGTGTCAGGGATTCATTTTATTTTCTTTCTTCTTCAAGGATATTAATCAAATGCTTTCTTTGCTTATAAGATTATTCTGCTATTTGCAGTCTTTTTCTCTGAACTCCACCTTTTTAGTGCCTGTTTTCACCTCTCTTTGCTGATTGTTGGCAGCATACCTCTATTTAAGTAGAAGGGAATGATAGATGGTTGGCCTTTATGTGTGTGAACATAGTCTGCCCATTGGAGGATCTCCACGCATTCAGGAGGTTGCAAGCCAGAAGGTTTAAAATATTTTGTTATGTGTGAATTGGAAGCACTCCTTAAAATGTTAGCATAATCATGAACAGTTGTAACGGCATCTCAGTGAACAGCAGGCCATATCTACAACAGTGGTCCTACGTCGTGGTGTCACCTGCTGATAGTAGTTTGTGTGAGTTCTCTCCACGATGTTCTTGAGAGGACAACATTATGCAGCAGCACGTTTCTCAGAATGTATCCCCTGTGTTACACAGTGCAGAGCTTTACTGGGATGCTGTTTTTCTGGATAAATTTGGGTTTTATTGAATTGGACAGTCCAGCCTCCTGCTTGCAGTTTGACAGTGTGACTTCAGGGTATCTGGAAGCAGAGAGAATGAGGAAGGAGACTTTCCCATGTGGCCATTTTGGAGATAGAACTTTTTATATATAAGTAGAGGGGAAATAATGTGATTTAAAACAGTGAGATCTGGAGAGTGATTTTGAATTGCTGTAGTGAGTTAGAGTAGCAGGATTGTGGTGAAGAGCCCGGATGAGTCATGCAGATGAATGCCCATGTGCTGCGGAGGTGGAGGGCTTGCTGCTGAAGAGAAGCAGATTGGTAGGTGCAGAAATGCATTGTCCTCATTCCCCTTCACTGTAGCACTCCTCCAGCCCGAGAAGGTCGTGTTTCAGTCTCTTAGGTGAGAAAGGCTGAACTTGCAGATTTCTCTGCTGTTGGCTCCACGGACAGCCAATAGCAGCCGTCTATTCCCCCAGCCTAGTGAGCATTGTCCTCCTTCCCCTATTGTCAGTCCCAGTAGCATACTTACAGTGGCTCCTGGCCATGCAGCTGAGAGAAGACAATGGGTCTCACCCCTCACACAAAAATATTCTGATCTGATTTTTATTTGCAGATTTTTATTTTTATTTGCAAGATGAAAAAATATGATATTTAAAAATTCCTCAGACTTCCAAAAAAATAAAGGAGAACATGAGCTCGAGTTTCCAAGTGAACATCTCTGTGTTCAGTTTTTAGCTCCTGGTTTCTAGGAATGGAAATGCTATAAAATGCTGAGGGATTTCATGTGAACTAATTTATGTATGAAATTATCATTTCAGAAAGGCTGGGCAGTTTTTCCTTAGAGCTTACGTTCTTTAAAACAACAACAACAACCATCTTGTCCTGGCACCTAGATTGATAGTAAGATAAGCGTAAATAGTTTGTATTTTTCCTTAGCTCTGTAGTGCACATTCCACCAACACACGCTGCCTTCTTTCACTCTCTGATCACTTGAAGCCAAGTGAACTTGGATAACCCGCCTGTGCAATCAGAGTATTGAACCAACCAGAAGCTGGGGCTCCGCCCTTGGGGTCTGAAAACTGATCTTGTGTTATCTCCCCTTCCTCCATCTTCTTAACTCCGCAAGAGATTTTAAGGTTTATCTGAATTAAATTCCTAATAGCCAATAATAGCCTTAAAGTAGCCATCTCTGGAAGAGCTATATTTGACCGGAATTATTTTGCATACAAATACTGTGCTATGTTGAAGTTAGTGATATAAAGCAGATATATTTGCTGACTCGAGTACACTGATTTATAGCCTCTTATTGCAGAGGGAGGGAGGTGGTAGAAAGATTAGTCTTTGGCTCAAGATACATCCACCACGGCCACCACTGAGGAACTCAACAATTTCCTCAGCCTCTCAGAGATTCTGTTTCTTTCTACATAAAACGAGAGGTAGTCATAACTATTCTCTGAGTTACAGAAGGCATTACTCCCAGTGATAATTTTAGCGCTAATAATAGTAATAGTAATCACTCAATAACTACTCGTTTAATCTTTTTTCATGAAAAATTGAAGCATGTTTTAAGTTACCCATAGCTTGAAATTTCAAAAATAAATTTAGCAGGGATTTTGTTAGAGCAGTTGTGGGTTCACAGTGAAAATTGACCAAAGGTAGAGAGATTTCTGCTTCATATCCCCCATTACCAATACCCTCCCCAGCTGGAGCTGGATGTTCCTCTCCTGCCAGGTCAGTTAGGCGCTGATAAAACCTGACAACCAGGTTACTCTCTGGTTAGGTTTTCCTGAGAGAGCGGATCCTGTTAGGAAGGAAAGCTGTGGTGTATTTCACAATGTTCTCTTCATCCAATTCATGTTGGAAACAAAGGGATTTCCTTCATGTATTCAGTATGAGGGCTGGTAGAACTAATTCTTACAGATGAAACTTACAAAAATATGGGAGCTCCCTGATAACTGAGTCTCCTTGGAGTTCTAATCTCACTCTTCTACTCTGAACCTCGAGCAGTTTGTCAGTGATAATTCAGGTTTCTTGTCTCCTGATTCCCACAGAGGCAGCTACTTCGCATTTATACTTCAGTGAGTCCTGATGATTTATTCGCCTGTCTGTCTGTCTACCTTGGGGAAGCATTTACTCTGTGATCTCACTTCTCTTCTGGATCTGGAAGAATTGTTGAATTTTGAGATTTTTTTTTAGCTTTTTACCTGTTAGTGAGTTGGAGTGGCAGCACCTAAGCTTCTTACATGCTGCCTAGAAATAAGGAAATCTTAATCTTTACATCAAAGCTAG